AAATTGCTTATCTCTGCTTACCCTAAGCGGAAAATGCTCATCTTCGAACTCCATCAAGGCATTGACCTAATAAACACATACACCAAGTTTGAACATTCTAGCTCAATTAGGAAGAGAGTTATTGTGTCCCAAAAAGTGTGACGGACAGACAGACGGACAGACAGACGGACGAACCCATTTTAATAGTCCCCTGCTTTCTTCGAAAGGTGGGGGACAAAAATTTGATGACAGTATACAAAATAGAATTAATCGGGAAAATTTCGGAAATGAATTTAAATTTCTCGCTTATACTTATAGTGCTGAAGGCCATTACAGAATATTAATAATATGTTGCTGTAAAGTCAAATGCTGTGAATTCAAACTCGACTGAAATATTATGTCCGAAAAACGAAAACAGTTATATGAGCTCATATCGCGGCAAAACCAAGAACCCAACAAAAACATGATTAAACAGGCCTTCTATTGCAGATCTTCCTGTAAGCCTGAAATTAATTAGACATAATAAACTTACCAAGACTATAATCAACTCTCGATGCCATCGGATGGCTGCGATATAAGTAGATTTAAAAACGTTTTGTGGTCGATGCGGTTACCGTAAAAATGAATAATCGAGACTTTGTTTATTATCGTAACAACGGCAGTAATGATAATCGAGGCTAGACTTTAATTGTATCGCCGATATCTAGGCTCTGAGGGCTGTAATTTGACTGAAATTTTCAGCATATTAATTTTTTGAACTATTATAGCGAGAACTGCCCACTCTTTATCTAATCTTATCTAATGCCGCTTTATGCAGTATAAATATGGAAAATATGCAAACTCTATCCACTAAAACTACAACCAATCAATAATTTCCCCTTTCTACCGCGGTTACAACATTGCTAGGTAAACCCATCAACTCAATAAATAATTTAGAGATACGTGTTATAATTTTGGGCCCAATAATAGTGTAACTCGAAATGTGTACGGCCTTTTGGGACTTGGGGTATTTCTCAAGGATTGTAAGATGTTGAGTACCTACCCTTCACACCTCTAAATACGGATTTTATTTTTGTGTAATTGAAACATGCCTATCAAAAGTTAAACATGTTACTGGGGTCTCCGCTTTAAAGCTGTGCGGTAGCCATGATTTGTGTAATTGAAACATGCCTATCAAAAGTTAAACATGTTACTGGGGTCTCCGCTTTAAAGCTGTGCGGTAGCCATGATTTGTGAGGGGCGACTAGGATGCCTAAATTAGAAACCTCATCTCGCAACCTTCCGTGTTTCGAGATACGAGATGGTACTATGAATATGTACATGTAGCACCATGGGCCTTTCTGTCAGACGTGGAAAGCGGGCGATCCTAAAAACCGGTCGCCACATCCTACATACGACCCATGCATCCTGTCTTACTACATATTTATGTAGCCTTGTGATCGTCTAGAATTTGACTCTAGCTGTCTTTACTTCTGCTTCACGTTGTGTATTTACTTCTTACAGTTCTCTTAAGACGTTTGTCTTACCAGGAATAACAATGCAACAGTTCGCTTCTACATGTTATATATATATATATATATATATATCCGAATACATGTATACAAGCATAATATATAACAATACTAGCTAATACCATTTCTCCACCCTAGCCAGCCTCGCGGCTGTCTAGGAACTAAGATGGAACCTCTCTGGAATCTAATGAAAGTCTGCTTGAAATTTTCAAATAGATATCTTATATAGCACTCACGTATATCACGCACATAAAGCCTATTCATGGCCCTGAACCTGTGCAATTAACGATATGATTGGTTAAATTAAACCAAATGATGCAATTAGAATAGTTCCACTCACGTGTAATCTCGGGGTATTTAATTGACACATGTTTTGGCTAAATAACTATTTTTATGTGTCAACTGTCAATTACAGGCTAAGTTGATTTCGTACACACTATATATAATACATATGTGAATATGTGTGAAACTATTAATTTGCCAAATATATTAATTAATGAAAAATACTGCCACCATTAATTTCAAGAGCAAAAATTCTAGCAATATTATTACAAAAGTTTTACCTGGCAAAATCCCAATGTGTATCAGATCGTGATTTAAAAATGCAAAATTTTTAAAAGAAATTCTTCAAAACAACAATTTGATTTAATCTTATTTATAACATTTCTACCACACCCAACTACACGGGTACAAAAGATATCTTTTAAATCGAAGCAATAGTATGTAGCTGTCTCCGGCACATTAAATCGACATCTTTATGAAGGCGGGGGCTAAATATAGGTCGTGTACAACAGCCAATCAAATACGCGAAAAGTGTGATAACCTTTGTAGGTCGCAAGAATGGCCTCATCAATTCTGTTAGAAACACCACTTGATAACTTTACTGACAATATTTACTGACAACAATATTTACTCACAAAAAAAAAAGTATAAAATTTGCTGCCAATATTAAATGGTCTATTAAAATTTCTTTTCCATTGATTATGTGTAAAAAATACAATGTACAAAGTCATTTCAAAATACCTCTATAAGGGCAAAGTTAAATGTAAAACGTCAAATGTAATGTGTCGAATGACAAATATTTTATTGAAAAGGACTGGGTTTTTTAACGTGTCTACATTTTACATTTCTCTCATTATAGATGTAACATACTGAGCTTTGAATTTTTCGGCACAGGGCCTGAGGGCACAGTCGCCGTGGATGCACCCCCCCTCCCTCGCTACGCCATGTATGGACCATTAACATGTCGTTAGGGAAGATCCTTTTAAATCTGGGCTTATTAGGATATAATTTTTAAAGCTCATGAGTCTTCGTTTGGGTTCTAATGTCTTCATTTTATACCGACTTGTCATTTTGTCTGGTCGTTAGTTTGTTTGAAAACTGAAAAGCATACTTTTGTCACAGGGGTACGGGCGAATTAGCAAGACTCGAAAATAGACAGGTACAATTTAGTACTGAACATTTAGTACATATCTATATATATATTTGTGACTGTCGTTTGTCTGTCTGTCTGTCTGTTTGGGGTTGGCAGCTACACTAGGTCTGCCCCGAGTCTGAAATTTGGGGTATAGGGTTAGTTCGGACCGGGGAATAACATAGGCCAGGTGGCGTTAGTCTACCACTTCCGGTTTCGGAGTTATGACTCCCGAGCGACGTCTGTCTGTTCGGGGTTGGCGGCTACATCTGCCCTGAGTCTGAAATTTGGGGTATAGGGGTAGCTCGGACCGGGGAGTAACATAGGCCAGGAGGCGTTAGTCTACCATTTCCGGTTTTGGAGTTATGACCCCCGAGCGAAGCCGGTCTGTTCGGGGTTGGCGGCTACACTAGGTCTGACCCGAGTTTGAAATTTGGGGTATAGGGGTAGCTCGGACCGGGGAGTAACATAGGCCAGGTGGCGTTAGTCTACCACTTCCGGAGCTATGACCCCCGAGCGAAGTCTGTCTGTTCGGGGTTGGCGGCTACACTAGGTCTGCCCCGAGTCTGAAATTTGGGGTATAGGGGTAGCTCGGACCGGGGAGTAACATAGGCCAGGTGGCGTTAGTCTACCACTTCCGGTTTCGGAGTTATGACCCCCGAGCGAAGCCGGTCTGTTCGGGGTTGGCGGCTACACTAGGTCTGCCCCGAGTCTGAAATTTGGGGTATAGGGGTAGCTCGGACCGGGGAGTAACATAGACCAGGTGGCGTTAGTCTACCACTTCCGGTTTCGCAGTTATGACCCCCGAGCGAAGCCGGGTATCCTGCTAGTAGTAACATATTGTCAACGTTTTCGGTAGAAATGAAGATCTGGAAGATCAACGAGAATAGTTATATTTGGATATGTATTTGTCTTTAATTTCCTTTTTAATTCAGTTCTGAAGACCCCCGCCCCCACAATAATAAACACTTTTCAGATAATGAGACCTAACAGCACGGCAATACTATATACTGGAAAACACACGAAAACACCATTTTATACTGAATACCGGAAAACACCGGAAAATACCCTAAATAGGAAACCCGGAGACTGGCACCCTAAATAGGTAACCCGAAGACTGGCACCCTAAATAGGTAACCGGGAGCCTGGTCCTGTGTGCCTGGGTTAGGGTTAGTTTCCGGTTTATAGTATAGCCCTTCTCCGGGTTGCCTATTTAAAGTGTTTTCCGGTATTTAGTGTTTTTCCGGTATTCAGTATAACATGGTGTTTTCCGGTAGTTTTCCGATTTATAGTATAGCCCTACAGCATGTAAGTAAATAATAATTACAGAAATGAAATGAAATAGGGTTAAACGTCCTATTCAAAATGAAATGAAATGGGGTTTACATCCTACTGTTCTGCTCCTATACTGGGCTAATGAAGACGGGCATACGCCATACCGTGTGCTATGAGGGAAATTTTGCCCGGGCAGCGGCATTATCGCCTACTCTTATATCGAATTCCAACTGCCAAGGGATCTTTTACGTGCATTCCAATGTATACACAGGACCTCGGTTTTTCGTCTCATCCGAAGGACTAGACAGCTGTCCTTGTCAGGCCCTCCATCCTGCATCACTAACAAGGGGGAAAACGTCCTATTCCATCATGGCTAATGAAGACTGGCATATTGAGCGGTACAGCGGCACTACTGCCACTCTTACTTCGAATTCCAACTCACCGTCAAGTTTTTTTTACGTGCACGCCAATATGTACATGAGGCCTCTGTGTTTTGTCGCATCCAAATTAGAGAGAGAGAAATGGGGTTTAACTACACTCAACACAAACTAGGTCATTTTGGGACTAACATATGGTTTAATTTTATTTCAATAATTCGCTTGCGCGTAGGGGTCTTTAGCTGTGGGAGGAAACCGGAGGACCCGGAGAAAACCCACGAGGTTGGACAGGCGACCCTACTCCTTGTCACGTACAACTGGGGATTCGAAACCACGCCAGTCGACTCAATGACAGACTTTATGATACAGCGCGCGCACGCTAACCATTCAGCCATCCAACCTCCCGCATCCAAATTAGATTACAAGTAATTTAATATACATGTATTGCATCAAAATATTTATTCTTAGACGTTATATTAGCTATAAATATAAATAGAAACACAGTACGGGTATATGGGTTGCCAGTATTATACAATCCATATTTATTTTTATTTTATTTTTTTTCTTCTTTAATTATTCAAAAATTAATGTAATGTAATGCAAACAACAAACCTCTAAATCAAAGGGTACTGATAACTTGAAAGTGTGTACATTGTACCTACATGTATAGTTTGATATACTATACTAATTTGTTTCACAGACCTATATAGAAAGCTTAGCGAATAATCACTGATGATCGGTGTGATACTGATAGTATACTTTAATGCCAATTATTCATTGCTGGAGATTTTGTGTATTCAAAATTTGTCTTGATCACTCCAGCCCAAATTGTCTCGCTTTGACTTGGATAAATATTAGCCTGGATAAAGTAGCACCAAATCTGTCAAAATTATTGCCATACAAGTAAGAAAATCTTTAAAGACTTGTTGAGAGGAAAATGACTGTCTCCATTTATTTGAAATACACAGACTATGTGAGTAACTGATGGATTGAGTCAAGATGAATGCTATACTGTTCCAACAATATTGATTGTAGTAGACAACTCATGAAATAGCGATCAAGACTAATTATAAATCTGACTAAATTCTGAGTATAAAACAAACAGCTTAGTATACATGTACCTACATGTAGCATTTTAGATAGAAGCCAAGTCATACCAGTTTACCATCTAAACTCATCTGATTTCAAATCATATTTAAATATCTATTATTATCTTTCTTTAATGAAAAATCACTAACTTATTATTTTTCATCCTAAGTTAATTGTTTGGCGTCTAAACAGATCAAGACAAACACTAGAAAGAAAAGCTGGAACACTGTCTTGTTTCACTAAATAATTATCTATAAGGTCTTGAACAGTTTGTGAAAATTCTGTGTCCATTAGCTGAATGTCACCTGTTGAAGACTGTTGAAATATCAGATGATCATGAACTGATTCTGAATAAATACTTGTCAATCGGTACTGACTATTTCCTGTTATATCAATCTTGTAACCCAGTAATTGACAACAAACATTGCGGAATTCTTGACTGGTCTTCTTGAAAGCTTCCATTAATCGCCTATTTCTTAACTCTTCTTTCCTCACTTGTGCCTTCATGTCTTCAACTTGTTTATTTGGTGATGGATTCTGCAGCTTTTCTTCAACACGTAAAGTCAAATCTTCAACGCACTCCCCTTTAGCATTCTCTAAGATATTTAAACGTCCCCTTAATTTTTCATTCTCACTTCTTAACACCTCAAGGTCCTGTTCACGTTGTTGCTGTGCTTTAGCAGCTGGGTTCATAGTAAAATGAACTATTTTAGTTTTAGTAGGATCATAGTTGCCCTGTAAATGGCTTTGTTCTATTCTACATTCTAAAGTATATTTTTCTTCCTGTGTCTGTTTTAACAAAGTTTCTAAATTAATGATTTTTTCTTTTAGTTCAGCTATTACATCCAAATCTGATGTCTTTGAAACATTTGGAATCTCTATCATTGACATTGTATGACCTCCTGATTGGTTATGCTGACATTTTTGTTTTAAATCAGCAATTTGTTCCAATTGTTGATTATTCTCCGTTTCTAGAGTTTCACAATGACGTTTGTATGACTGAACAATATCTTCTAGTTGCTGTGTGCGATCGATGCCTGGATTGGCTACGTTCAATGTCACTTCACTTTCATACGATTCTATAATCCTCTTGTATCCTTCCTTTTCCTTTGTTGTTAGCAGAAGTTTTTTTTGAAGTCGTTTAATAAAATCAGCTTGTTTCTGACAATTAGTGTTTGTGCTGTTTAATTTTTCTTGTGTTGATTGATACTTTGTTTGAAATTCAAGCAACTGATTTTCACTTCTCCGCAACCTTGAACTAAGTTCACCTTGCTCCTCTAACTGTTTCATATGAGTAGCTTTCAGGTCAGAAATCTGCTTTAACATGGTAGCTCTGGACTGAGATTCACTGGATCCACAAAGCTTACAGCGTTGCTTGATCTGCCTCATTTCTTCATTGACGATATCAAGCCGGTTCAGTTCATAGACACGTTCTTCTGATCTGGCCAATTTTTTCTGTAATCCTTCAAATTCTTCTTCAAGTTTCATAAAATTTCTTTCATTTACTTTTAGCTCGTTATTTTCTTCAATCAGTCTATCTCTTTGTTTTTCTAATTCTGGAACTGTATCGAGTTTTGATTTGCAAACTCTTGTTATGACTATTTCATCTTGGTGTTTGGCTAACTGATTCTCTAACTCTCTAATCCTTACTTCGCCTTGTATTGCTTGATCTTTAAACTTCTCCAATTCTTCAATCTGACTGCTCATGATTCTCAGTTGATCTATATGAAATTCCAGTTTTCTTTGCGCCTTAACTGCTTCTATATTTGGTCTATTGTTCCGCGATTGAAGTTCATTTATTTTAAAATTTTGATCACTTATCCTTCGACTACTTTCTTTTAATGCTTCCTCCAACTTCCATCGAGTTTTTTGTCCGTAACGAAGTATATCTTCTTTTGATGATTTGCACTTCGCAAAGTCTGTTTCACTTACTTTCAACTGTTCTTTTAAGCTTTGCTCATTCTCACATACAAATTTCAATTTCAACTGCAAATCGGCGTATTTTTCAGCAAGAACTTTCTTCTCTTCTTTTAGAATTTCAACTTCTTTTTCAAGATCTAATCTAACTCGTTTTGTTTCAAGATCTGATATGGGTCTTGTAAACGGTTTCGCGCAAATCATCTCGTCTTTATCTATTTCATTAGACCCCATGTTATCACATCTTTCTCTTCTTGGGTCACCGGCATCGGGTGTCGTTGTCAAATCGTTTTGAAAAAAGAGGCTTGTTCTTGGCCGAGATTCTCGAAAGACGTTAGTAACTATGCTAGCCGAATCTGACAAATAAGCATCTAATTCTCGTTTCATTCTAATTACAGCAGTGTTGTCCATGGTCTCGTCATCCATTTATTTTTCTTAACTAACAAAATTCCCTCCAACCACTGCGTGCGGGCATTTGTTTTCACTCATATGAGCCAATTTATCCACTCGACTAAACTAGGAAAAATTCGGTATACAGACAACTCATCCCAAAGACAACTCATCCCAAGACAACTCATCCCAATAAAAGACAACTCATCCCAATATAAAAGACAACTCCCAACTTTAAAACATGGGTAGAGTTATAAGACAAGTTATAAGACAACTCATCCCAACAAATTTAAGTGCTTGTTTTAATACAATTGCTTTCTTTGAAGACCACTCAGACCAAAACCAATCTGATTTTGTTATCTTAAAGGGACAATAACACTCTTGCTGGCTTAATGACAGCTCCAGAAAATAAATAAGAGCCTTATTCTAAGTACTAGATGTTTAAGTGTCCTACCGGTTGTGTAAATTATCCATTACAGCCTATTTTACTTGAAAAGGTTTACGTTAGGCTTTTCAAATCATTTAGTTGAATTTTTCCAATTTTTTAAATTATGTGTGTTCAGATGAATTTTGTATCGCCAATTAATTGGAATATTGTAAAATAGTACAATTTGTTGCCCAGAATAAAGATTGGGACATATTATTCAGTTACAACAAGAGTGGTATTGAGCCTTTAATAAAATTGATATTGTTGTTTTAATAAAATTGATATTGTTGTTTTAATAAAATTGATATTGTTGTTTTAATCAAATTCATATTGTTGTTGTAATAAACTGATGATTACTGTTTGTATTACTATTTTAGTACTTTGTTGTTTTAACAGATTGGTAGTTGTGTTTTGTTTTATTTTTTCATCATGAAGCACTTCAAAGAAACTTAATTAACAAAACATCGATTAACTAAACTGAGTAGTAGTATTTCAGTATCATTTTTCAAAATGTCTGATAGCTGTATAGTTTGTGAGTCAGTTGTTCGCCCAAGACAGGAGGCTGTTCAGTGCGACGGATGTGAACGATGGCAGCACAGAACTTGTAATATTGGTAAGACTTTAATGTTATTTTTTTTAAATTCAACAATATTGTATTAAATTCAACAATATTGGACTACATTTTGGACAACTGGATAACAACCCAAATTAAGATGGTATCGGATGGGAAATTACGAAGGCACCAGCAAAAACAGACAAGAACGACGCAATTCAAATTATTTCAACTGTGGCATTCATACACAGACCAGACTATTAGTACTAACCAGTTACTAAAGAGATGTGGGAGAATTTATGGACCTAACTGAAGGACAAACTTACTAAATGGCTAACCTACTGAACGACGTACTGACAGAAGAAAAAACATATTTATAAAAATGTATTAGTTGATCATGATATAATAAAATGTATTATTTAATAAATTGTTGATGTAATAAATAATAAAATGTATTTTTTAATAAATTGTTGATGTAATAAATAATTTAACATTATTATTTTTATAAATTGTTGATCTAATAAATTCTTATATAAATTGTTGATATAATAAATTTTTATATTACTGATTAATTTAATAAATAAAAAAAAAATTAATATTTGTTGCGGTATTTATTTGTAACTTGGAATGATTGGGTTTTTTAAAGTTGGGATGAGTTGTCTTCTAACTTGGGATGAGTTGTCTTTTGACTTGGGATGAGCTGTCTTCTAACTTGGGATGAGTTGTCTTTTATTGGGATGAGTTGTCTGGAATGAGTTGTCTTTGGGATGAGTTGTCAGGTATTCGACAAATTCAGCTTACAATACGGACTAAGACTAGTAATTATTTCCCCTTATTTCATGATGCTTATTTCATGATGGCCCTTAATTTTTTTCTCCCCTCTTCCTGCATTTTTGGATGACTTTTTGGTCTAGAATAGGAGAAAAGGGATCAAATTTGCAATTTTATAGCAGTTTTTGGTAATACTGATGATATTACAGCGGAGGGATAGGGGGTGTAAAATGTCTTTCTGCGGAGCAATCATTGTATCGGAATTGAGATTTTCACCCCAGTCAACTTCAAATCCCCGTAGCAAAAAATCTAAACGGTCAACCCCCTACAAGTTTATGATGAGGAGATTGCCAAATATGGTCCCCATTGTGCCTATAAAGATTGGAACCAACGGAATGTTGAGCAAAAAGCTACGGCCTGTGATGTTACTGCCATTTAACATTGAAGTCAATGGGCAAAAAATTGCTAGTCTGAGTCCACATGGTTCAGGATTGGGTTGTATCACAGACGCGGTCAATGAATTACACTTACATCTGTTTGCATACGATATTTTGATATTGGATTTATCTGAATAGACCAGTGACTTTCATTGCTTTGGGGTGTATAATGTTTGCAAGCAAATGTACTCGTCAAGTTGAAATTATAGAAATAATGCGAAACAAATCATAGTGTTTCGAATGGTTAATATCCGATGTTAGATAGGGTAAGGACCACTGATATTTTACATGAATTCCTTTAAAATGTTAATTCTCGTCTCTTAGACCGGCTGTAACTTTTCCCCCAAATTTTCATTGGGTAGAACGCTTTCTACCACGGATGTAGCAACACGTGACAACCTCTTATTCAATAGCACGTATGAGGTTCACCATAGAAACCTTGAGATACACAAATTGAAAGTAGAGATAAAGTAAAATACAATTTTTTCAACCTAACCAACCCCTTAGCTCCTGTACCCTTCTGCGTCAAAATCATGAATATACACTAAAACTGATAGAAAATGTATCTCCAAACCCCTTTCTTCAATTCTACACCAAAAGTCAACAGAGATCGACACGAAAAGGGGGAAGGGAGAGAAAGACTAAAAATAGCTTTGGCCCTTGGGTGTCGGCTTGGGAATAATTGATGACCTGTGTCAGTATAGATCACTGGTGTAGATTCGACCGCTTCCAAAGTGAAAAATTCTTGTACGTTTATTTTCCACCTTTGTATATTGTAAGATGAATCCGAACTCATGACAGAATAAGAGTGGATTTTTTTTTTATCAAACATGACAAGTTGACTATAGGTTATTTCGTTCTATACCTTTGCTATTTAGGTGCACGGATTCACACAAATACGTTAAAGATACATTATGTAAGATTTAGATAAAGAACTAGCCATTCTTGCTATAATAGTTCGAAAGTAGATGATGTAAAATGAATAATTTGAAAATTTCCTTCAAATTACTCATTTGCAAGCGAAGATATTAGCCTTTGAAGGTTTGACAGACGTGTGCAATAATTTCAACCACCGTACTGGTTGATCGAAGCTAAGTCTTGGCCCTCCATATTTGATTAAATCAAAGTATCGCTGAACCATTCTAATCTATTTCATATCGGAGAAATCTGATGCCATCGAGAGTTGATTAAGGCATGGATCAGTTAATTAATGTCTAATTAATACTTTAGAAAACATTTCAGGCCTAAAGAAAGACCTGCAATAGGCAGATTTAGCTCTTGCATAATGCATGTTTAAGTCACACTGATCAGCAGTGAATATTCGCTAGGCCGCTACAGTCACTGATAACGATGACATCGATGTAACTTAATAAATCCCCAATATTAAAGATACATTATGTAAGATTTAGATAAAGAACTAGCCATTCTTGCTATAATAGTTCGAAAGTAGATGATGTAAAATGAATAATTTGAAAATTTCATTCAAATTACTCATTTGCAAGCGAAGATATTAGCCTTTGAAGGTTTGACAGACGTGTGCAATAATTTCAACCACCGTACTGGTTGATCGAAGCTAAGTCTTGGCCCTCCATATTTGATTAAATCAAAGTATCGCTGAACCATTCTAATCTATTTCATATCGGAGAAATCTGATGCCATCGAGAGTTGATTAAGGCATGGATCAGTTAATTAATGTCTAATTAATACTTTAGAAAACATTTCAGGCCTAAAGAAAGACCTGCAATAGGCAGATTTAGCTCTTGCATAATGCATGTTTAAGTCACACTGATCAGCAGTGAATATTCGCTAGGCCGCTACAGTCACTGATAACGATGACATCGATGTAACTTAATAAATCCCCAATATTAAAGATACATTATGTAAGATTTAGATAAAGAACTAGCCATTCTTGCTATAATAGTTCGAAAGTAGATGATGTAAAATGAATAATTTGAAAATTTCATTCAAATTACTCTATTGTAAGCGAAGATAATAGCCTTTGAAGGTTTGACAGACGTGTGCATTAAATTCAACCACCGTACTGGTTGATCGAAGCAAAGTCTCGGTCCTCCACATATGATTAAATAAAAGTATCGCTGAACCATTCTAATCTATTTAATATCGGAGAAATCTGATGCCATCGAGAGTTGATTAAGGCCTGGATCAGTTAATTAATGTATAATTAATACTTTAGAAAACATTTCAGGCCTAAAGAAAGACCTGCAATAGGCAGATTTAGCTCTTGCATAATGCATGTTTAACTTTTTTCTACCGACAAATTAAATTCTAAAACATTTTTTTTTATGTATTAGAAAAATAAATAAAGTCGTTTGAAGTATTTGTAGGTAAAAAATTCTTCCTATTTAGTGTAAATGGGTATTAAAATGAGTAAAATGCACCATTCTGCCCGAAGCAGTTACGTCTTATATAAACAATCCACGCGCCATTGAGCCAATGATTGATGCCGTGTAATGTGTTTGCACGCGTTGAAGACAGTCATCTTTTACAGAGAAATTAGAAGACTTTCGTAATTCTCTGTGAAACCGATTGATATTAAGTAGTTGAGATTTTTCCCTTCTATTTTATTGGCATTGTTTGTTTACCTCATTAATTCATTAAGTCTGAGACCGACAGCGATTTAGGTGCACGGATTCACGCAAATACATTATTTGTGATTTTTCCCTTCTATTTTGGCATTGTTTGTTTACGCCATTGTTTCATTTAGTCGCCGAGGGCATAATTTTTTTAGACCCACTGCACTTATTTTGTGACCGATAATTTTTTTTTTCAAACATGACAAGTTGACAAGTTTATTTCATACTATAGTTTTGAGTGACTAGCGTGACATTTGCAATTTAGTATGCACGGATTCACGCAAATACATTATTTGGGATTTTTCCCTTCTATTTTGGTCTTGCTTGTTAACGTCATTAATTCATTTCGCCGCCGATTCATAATTTTTAGATCGACTGTTCTTATTTTGCCCCACCCCCCCCCAAAAAAAAACCACCAACACACACATTTTTTACGCCATTGAGTGGCAGTGATGAAACTATTACATAAAGCCATGACTAAGTTCGATATTGAGCATTTTCGGCTCAGCACTGTAAATCATATTTTTGTGTATTTTTACCGTAAATTGACTGGCAGAAAGTTGCCAGTAAAATGACTGTATTTTAACACTGACTAGTAAATTTACACCTAAGGGTAGATTTAGATTTACAAACAGCATGTAAATTTACAGTGAGTGTAAAATAATTCGATGTAAATTTGCATTGTTCTTGTAAATAGAAAGAGAGGTAATTTTACATTTACTCTAAATTTACACCATGGTTTTAAATTTACCTCAAAGTTATCTTACACTCACTGTAAATTTACACGGTGGTTGTAAATTTACCTCAAATAGTAAGTGCAAGGGGACTGTCCCACACATAATTTACACAAAAACAAATATACGGACAAGACATATTATACGCAGAAATTATAAACAAACGCACAATTCAAATAAAGTGAATGGATCCGGGGGCTGCCGTAAGCGTCCACTGCGCTGTACAGTCACACTGAACAGCAGTGAATATTCGCTAGGCCGCGACACACACACTGATCAGCAGTGACGCGACTTAATGAGCCAGAACTATTAACTTTTTTCCTCCGACAAATTAAATTCTAAAAAAATTTTTTATGTATTAGAGAAAATAAATAAAGACGTTTGACGTATTTGTAGGTAAAAATTATTTCCTATTTAGTGTAATAGAACGTCTTATATAAACAATGCACGCGCCATTGATCCAATGATTGACGCTGCGTGATGAGACGTCACGTGGTGAAGGTAGTCATCTTTTACAGAGATATTAGAAGACTTTCGTAATCCTCTGTGAAACAGATTGGCCACGACAGTCACTGATAAGGATGACATCGATGCGACTTAATGAGCCACAAGTAATAATATTAACTTTTTTCCTCCGACAAATTAAATTCTAAAACATTTTTTTTTATGTATTAGAAAAATAAATAAAGACGTTTGAAGTATTTGTAGGTAAAAATTATTTCCTATTTTAGTGTAAATGAGTAAAAGGCGCCTTTCTGATCGAATCTGTAACGTCTTATGTAAGCATTGCATGCGCCATTGAGCCAATGGTTGAAGCCGCGTGATATGCCGTCATATGTAACTGAAGGCAGTCATCTTTTACAGAGATATTAGAAGACTTTCGTAATACTCTGTGAAACAGATTGCTGTACAGTCCCGGGCCTGTAGCCACACAGACTTCACTCAAATTTGAAAACAGAAGGCAGTCATCTTTTACAGAGATATTAGAAGACTTTCGTAATAGGCTACTATGTGAAACAGATTGCTGTACAGTCCCGGGCCTGTAGTCACACAGACTTCACTCAAATTTGAAAACAATCAGGAATGAAACCTAGAGAAACCAAGGGACGCAAAAAAAAAAAATTAATAATAATAACCGGCGCGCGCCGGATAATAACTGGCGCGCTCGGATAAATAACTGGCGCGCGCCGGATAATTTCCAATAAGAAATAGAATGAAATGGGGTTTAAAGTCCTACTGTGCTGCTCCTACTGGACTAATCAAGACGGGCATACGCCATATATAGTGCGTACTATGAAGAAAAAAAGTTTGCTAGGTCAGCGGTACTGGCTTACTCTTATATCGAATTCCAAATGCCGGGGGATCATTTACGTGCATGCCAATGTGGACACCAGACCTCGGTATTTCGTCCCATCCCTACTACTGTACGTTGACCGTAGGCTCGCTATCCAGGAGGCCCCTTGTTCCATCACTGCTTTGGCCGAGGAAGTTCATCGGCATTTTCCAGCGTGGTTCCTCCTGCACCGTTAATTGACAAGGAGAACTTTCTCGGCTAACGCAGGGATGGAACACGGGACCACCTAGATAGCAGGCCAACGTCTTATTAACTGAACCACGTTGGGTAGCCAAATAAGGTCTGACATTGAATCAAGTGACGTGGTTTTGATTCCCGCCTTGTACGTGGCAAAAGGAGGGTCGGGTCGCCTGTTCAACCGTTTTCTTTCGGGTGTTCTGGTTTCCTCCTACTGCTAATTACCCCTTCGCACAACACAAGAAAATTATTAAAATAAAATGTAAGCATATGTTAGCCCCGAAATGACCTAGTTTGTGTCGAGTAGACGTTAAAACCCAACTTTCTGTTGGTGGAAAATTCCCAAAATAACTGGCGCGCGCCGGATAAATAACTAGCGCGCGGCGGATAAATAACTAGCGCGCGCCGGATAATAACTAGGTTCTCGTCACTACACGCATGTCGCTAGGTCATTTTGGGACTAACATATGGTTTCATTTTTTTTCAATAATTCGCTTACGCGTAGGGGTCTTTATCAGTGGGAGGAAATCGGAGGACCCGAAGGTTGGACATGTGACCCTTCTCCTTGTCACGTCAACCGGGGATTCGAAACCACGTCAGTTGACTCAATGACAGGCTTTATGATACAGCACGCACGTGCTAACCATTCGCCTTTATGATACAGGCTTTATCATTCAGGATTTATGATACAGCACGCACGTGCTAACCATTCGCCCCCCCCCCCCCCAATTTTCAGTTGTAGTTTGAGTTGAAAAGCAATGTTTTGAGTTTTGACTTCGTGAGAACAAACCGGATGAACCAGAGAAAACCTACATGTACAGACACCAACAGACAGGTGGGGTTTAACGTCTTCTCGACACAAACTAGGTCATTTCGGGACTAACATATGCTTCCATTTTATTTTAATAATTCTCTTGTGCGTAGGGGTGATTATCAGTGGGAGGAAACCGGAACACCCGAAAGAAAACTGTTGAACAGGCAACCCGACCCCCCCCCCCCTTTTGCCACGTTCAAGGCGGGAAGAAAAACCACGTCACTTGATTCAGTGTCAGACCTTATTTGGCTACCCAACCCTTGTTATTGGAAAGGGGGCCACGTGGTTCAGTTAATAAGACGTTGGCTCGCTATCTGGGGGTCCCGTGTTCCATCCCTGCGTTGGTCGAGAAAGTTCATCAGGATTTTCCGGCGTGGTTCCTCCTTGTCAATCAATGGTGCAGGAGGAACTGAAATCCCGATAAATCCCAACGCAGGGATGGAACAAGCGGCCTCCTGGATAGCGAGCCTACGGTCAACGTACAGACGTTGGGATGGGACGAAATACCGAGGTCCGGTGTACACATTGGCATGCACGTTAAAGATCCCTTGGCATTTGGAATTCGATATAAGAGTAGGCCGTAATACCACTGTCAGGGCAAAATTTCCCTCACGCCCGTCTTCATTAGTGCAGTCGGAGCAGAACAGTAGGACTTTAAACCCCATTTCATTCTATTTCTTATTGGAAAATATCCGGCGCGCACCACTTATTTATCCGGCGCGCGCCAGTTATTTATCCGGCGCGTGCCAGTTATTATCCGGTTATTATTATTATATTTTTTTTTGCGTCCCTTACCGGGCTCCGTAATGATCTGCTATATGTTACAAGAAATATGAATGTAAGCATATTGTAGTAAAATTTAACTATACAAGTAACCAAATGGGTGAAATGTATTTAAAAAAACAGGTAGTCTAAAATTAAATGTTCTAAGTCATTAAGAAACGTTTTAGTATTCAATAGAATCGAGGCATATTGAACACAGTAGGATGTTCCATCCATCACACTCACTGTAAATTTAAAAGTTATTTTACTCTCACTGTCTGTAAATCTAAATCTACCATTTAGGGGTACATTTACAAGTCGGTGTTAAAATATAGAGATTTTACTGGCAACTTTCTGACAGTCATTTTTAAAGGGAATGTGTTTGTCCCCACTCGGCTAAGTAGTCCTCCATTCGATAATGGAAAGAAATTAAATAAAATAGGGTTTGACTTGCTACTGTTGTGCTTCATACAATGAAAAGAGTAGGAGGCATGACACGAAGCAAAATGGACCACACAACCATATGGTTGGCATATCACTGTCTCCATGTTAGGTGCATCCAGGTTTTGAATAACAGACTAATCTAACCATATTTTGCACAAAAATCGATATGCGGTCGAGGGGGATTAACCGATTTGAACACTATTGGACAGTAAATTTACAATTTGTTGTAAAAATATTATTTCAAATGGCATTTCTGTTAATATACAGCTCACATAACGTAAACTGACATATGCTGTATTTCTACATTAAGTTTGATGTACATGTTCAGTGTATACATAATCTTATATGTGTCCATAGAGGGAATAACCGATGTGGCCACTATTTGACTGTTAATTTACAATTTGCTGTAAAAAAAATAATCTAAATGGCCTTTCTGTTAATATACAGCCCGCATAATGTAAACGATGTAATCTTACAAAGGCTTTGTATTCATATGCATTTACATCGTTTTTGTGCTTAGTGATCTTTTACGTGCAGGAATATGTAAAAGATCTGTCAAGTTCTAAAGAGATGTACAATTACACGTTTCCTGTAAATTGTACACAAATCCCGTATTTAAACATGCTTGAATAGTAGAATTGCCCATAAAACAGTTAAAGTACGACATACATGTACGTTTACAAACATAGTTGTATTAATACAGGTTACATGTAAAAACGAAATACAGTACAGTGGCTTTTGTAGTGGCACTAGGACGACCTGAACGAGGTCTATCGTCAACATTGTGACACATTAAGCATGTTGGCTACTGCTCGCTGTATAGAACCCATTTGAAGCATGCCAATAGCACGTAGAAGTTCATCATGTTGAAGACGTCTCATTGCAAATTAAACATAACACACTAAAGCAAAGATACGCTAAACAGTAAATCTTATGCAAGAACCGATATGAAAGCAAACATGGGTAGGATAAACCAGCACTCGGCAGTTTTCATCAACCCTTCCTTGAAGTGTCAAATTTGACAATGAACCCCTCCCACGTGTATGGCGCTATTGCGTGTCGCAAGTGCAGCTCAGTGGTTCTGTTGGGGCGATAAGTTCTTCATCTGTGAACATACTCTCAAAGCATGTCAAGTGTCCATGACTATTTATTATATCACAACCTGCATAGGTATTTGCATTTCAATATCCCCAACTTCTTTTGAAGAGTATAGTATAAAAACATGCAGTAGTATTTTTACAGCCTTATGTTAAAGAAATTACATATTTTTCACTGTAATTTTACATTTATTTTTAACAGTGAGGGAGGTGATTGTTCGATGCTTCACAAAGAGATAAATGAACATGTATTTAATGAATGCTACTTATATATTTTGCGATTGAGGCGGGGAACATCAGCCTCACAATTTATTTTTTTATTTATTTATGTTTGTTCTGTTTTGTCAGATATCATTTCAAGTTATCTGTTCATCTAATAAACAATTATCTTTACAAATATTTTGTATTGATTTAAAATTCAGCGCTTGTAAAAATATACTAAATGTATCAATCATGTGATTATTGATAATAATATAAGTAGCTGAGTGTATTATGATTATGCCGCTACATTCATACTTACAATTGAATATCTAAAGTTAATAATACCCTACTCCACCGGGACTCTTGAGAACACGCATTTAAATGATGAAAAACAAAACCGATATTACATTGTAATAATCTTTTAATGACTATATTATAGAGATGTCCCGACATTCTAAATTTCATGTTTTTCATTTTAATTTACCTGGACGCCCGCGCCGCTCCCTTATCGTAACAACGGAAGCAATGACACTCGAGGCACCACTATTCCCCAAACAGCCACAACTTCGCTCAGATTGAAGTAATTTGACTGAAATTTTCAATATATTGATTTTTCATTGTATATTTTTAAACAATTATAACGAGAACTATCAGCCCTTTATCTAAATTTTACATAATTTATCTTTAGTGGGGCGAGGAGACGGCTACACGCCTATATGTAAAATAAATGTTCACAAACGTATGTAAAACTGCACCAATTCACTTAATATTATTATGATAGGTACTACTATATCGTATATATATATATGTGTGTGTTTGCGGTTGTGCTAATAATTTTGGATATACGACCGTTATCACCATCATGTTAAAATGTTATCATAATACATTATCATACATCTATACATCTACATGTGACTGCTAGAGATAATAGATCATTCATGTGACTATAATTCTCCGGTTCAAGATGGTGTTGAGGAATTCAAAATCTCTGTTTTTTCTCCTCAAAGTTTTTATTTTATGTATGAAAGTTTCGATTATAGGATCAGCTGATGCATGCGTTAAAATCTCAGCATGTTCTTGCCAAAATTCTGAGGGTACTATAGATTTAACTCCACTTTCCGGAAGTCCGAAGTAAGTAAACTAACTATTGCATATAAATTTTGTCCTCCACCCACCTCCCTGAAAACTACATGTAGTATAATTGTACGGATTGGTCCATAAGCAGATAGTCCGGTTCATGGTAAAAATTTGGGTTGGGGTTGGGGTTGGGGTTCTAGCTCGGGCATCTTATATCATAAGGTCTATTATTGAGTCAAGTGGCGTGGCTTCGATCCCAAACTTAACGTATGCGACAAGACTAGGGCCATCTGCCTAACCTCGTGGGTTTTCTCTGTTAAAGATTCCTTCGCACAAATGAATTATTGAAATAAATTCATACAGTATGTTAGGCCCAAAATGACCTACTTTATGTTGAGTGGATATTATACCCCATTTCTCTGTCTGAGATAGCTATACTATAGAGAATTTAAAAAAATGATTTTGAAAAAAAAAAAAAAAAAAATGAAGGTCAGATTTGCGCTTATTTTGTTTTGGAAAAGAGATCCTCATTTGTCACAGATGTTTCATAGGTTTAAATAAGATAATATGTATATTTGTATCATTGATGTTTTATAGGTTTAAATAAGATAATATGTATATTTGTATCGTTGATGTTTCATAGGTTTAAATAAGATAATATGTATATTTGTATCATTGATGAAAAAAAAAATGAAATGGAGTTTAACGTCCTACTTTTCTGCTCCTAACCTGGGCTAATGAAGACGGGTATCATTGATGTTTCATAGGTTTAAATAAGATAATATGTATATTTGTATCATTGATGTTTTATAGGTTTAAAGATGTACAAGATGAAGCTGGAAGTTATTATTTTTCTTATAATCCATGTAATGAATTCACTGAAAGTGGATGTACATCTGTTTCTGTAAGTTTATTACAATTTAAGTCATTGCAACTTAATGGAATCTGATCTGACAATTTGGGAAAGATGGAAAATAGAAAGATAATATTAAACTGTTGTAAAAATGATTAATTTTCAGGCATGTCAAACCGATATGACCAATTATTATAGTATAGGAACTCAAAATAGCGCAGCGTTTAAAGTAGATGCAACCAATGGACTATATATTGAATATGATGCCACAACAGATGTTAAAAGGTAGGTAATATTAGGTCCTACACTTACGTAACGTCTAACAAGTTGGATACACATGTAAACTGGGTTTAATATCAACCCGGTTAAATATAGAATGGTTTAATATCTACTGGTTTAATGTCGATCGTGTTAAACAAATGTCTATTCTGTTATAAGTTGTAGACAATACTACATACATTCTCCAGTGACAGGGTACTATTAATACTTGGCTAGGCATGGATATGTTATACTACCCTTCCAAATTACCAGTTATCCACACGGGAGAGCATGACACGCTCCCGAGAGAAAAAAACTGTTTTAGTATCATATCATATTCCTTCTTTTTCAGAACATCACAGGTCTATTTAAAATGTGACAAAACAGAAGAGGGTAAACTTGATGTTAAAGGAGAATTTCCCGCTGGCAGCGCTATATATGTTAGTTTTAGATTTGTTCTTACCTTTTAAATATTGTATGGGTGCCGCTAAAACAAAAAATAGAGTGCCCCAAGCATGCGTATTAGAAAGACCCCCCCGCCCGCCCCCAATTATTTTCGGATAAAAAGGCATTTCCATGCAAAGATAACACATTTCCTGACATTTTCGGTTTATATTCGTCGATGTATTCAGGAAACAATGTTTACAGATCTCCAAATCACAAGAGCACATGACATAAGGCTAAACAAAATGAAAACTTTATTTTGAAGTAAATCATCGGCCAGTCCAAGGTAATGCATTAAACGGTTGTCAACGAGGGCACGAAAGACTTGAAAATTATATTATATTATTTTTATGACTTTAACTTAAATCTTATGACTTGCAGGAAATGACCCTAACAAGTAAATACGCTTGCCCAAGTGGTAATGACGGACCAACGGTTACCGTATCTGTAGATTTATCAACAGGATCAATTATGGTTATCATGTAAGTGGTATTAAAATTACAAGAAAACAATTGGAAAATGTAATCCAATGAGTCCGAATGGTGCGGGGAATACTGAGCATGAGCATACGCGAACGAGGGTAACACACAGATGTTTATATCTATCGATATAAAACCATTTAACTATTTTCTAAGTATATGGTTTGTTTGTTTTGTGTGTATATGGGTTGGATGCGGATGTGGGCGATAAGAGTGACCGAGAATCGGGCGCATCCATTTTGCGGTTATCTTTATACTCCTACATGTCAGTGTAAGCGAATTATGTCGTTATCCTGTCCGTCGACCCACCCTCCGTCCATTATCAATCTGATTAAAACACAGATCCTATTTCGTTTTGTTTTTATAGTGCAAAATTTCGTTTTACTTGTCTTTACTACACTAGGATCTGGAAGAGTTGTTATCATTGGCGCGTTCTGAATAATGTGAGGGATTAGCGTATGAAAAGATCTGTTACGGCGAGCTTTAGGTGTGTTTTGCACGGAACTGTTGGTAATCCACTAGTAACATGAATGCCGATTGGTTAATCAAATGTCTGACATCATAGGGTCAAAAGCCGTTCGTACGACCTCTGACGCGACCTATCGCTACAAGTACAACCGGTCAGATCTTCAAGTAGTGTAGGCCATCGAAAGTATAAAAAACGAAACGAAATATAGATCTGTATTTTAATCAGATTGGTCCATTATTGTCGGCTTGTGAAGGCGATAGCGGCTACAACTTTGGAAGGATTCTGTTCAAATTTGGTAAAAAGGGTTATGGCCATGAGAGCACGAACCCTATAGACCTTCCGTGCCCGAGTTATCCCCCTTGCCAAAACCTTGTGAATAGTCTTTAACTTGTTATTTTTTTTCAAATACGGTGTCAAACACTGGGGTCAGGAGAGGATGAACCCTATCGATATTCAGCGTTTCTCAACCTTCCGTAATAGAGTCGAACCCCCACGCCTTTTCAGAAAACCTTATAAAGTTTTTAACTGATTTTTTTCAAATTGGATACGCGGCGTTCCAGACCACTAGGGGACCACTAGGGAACCAACGGCTATAGTTTCTAACGGATGTTTTCATAGGTTCCTTTCTAATTACGCCAATTCCACGGTCCTGGGTTTTTCGTCCCATCCGAACGCCTATACGTTGTTCCATGTCAGGCCCTCCGTCTTAAAACCACTGACAAGGGGGAACCACGCAGGAAAATCCAGAAGAACTTCCTCGGCCAACGCAGGGATCGAACACTTCTTGCTCACTGGTCCATCGTTAAAGTTTTCCTTTCGGATAAGCTGGCGTCGAGACATTGCTGCTGGGTGGGGGTATTTCTACTCTTTGAATGGCTATCTTTATTACGTCATAATTTGTGGACGTTTCGTTAATCTTTTATTCATTTGTGCCCGAATTCACAGATATCAGATGTTTATTGCCTTAATTTAACAATAATACAGCTCACAAGCACAAGTTTCAAGTGTCCAGGCGAGTCGAATATTTCTGTATTCTTTGTAAACTCTTATTTCAGATTTTTTGCTGTATTGGTTGTGTATGTGATAGCTGGTATAACCTTTCAGCGGTTTGGGCGCAAAGCATCTGGGAAAGAGATGGCACCAAATTATGGTTTTTGGTCAAGCATTCCTGGACTTGTTAAAGTAAGTTGAACTCGTGCTTTCTTTTGTTACAACCTATTATTGTTGTATCTAATTATAAGTGATGGCTATTTAGAAAAATTACAGAGGTTTTTCCTTTTTACTTTATACTAATCATTGTATTTTCTTATATTTCAGGATGGCGTTCTATTTACTGTAAAATGTGGAAAAGTTGGAAGCTCTTACGATAATATTTAACGTTAATAATTGTTGTATAATAATATTTATATTCATTGTACATAATATATTTATTAAATATTAATCAACGCGTTTCAAAGATGTATGTGATTGCTAGGGTAGACTAGCCTGGTTGGCCTAATTATTAATTTTTTGTATTTCATTTCTTTTATATTCCGATTAACCTTTAAAATCATGAGTTGCTACAAAATCATCGCTAATCCCTCAGTCATTAGATACGCCAGTAAATAAAGACATTTTTATCGACATTTTATCAACAATGGAAAGCATTTTATTGCCAGAGCCTCGTCTGTGAGACAAACATCTTCCTTACCTTACAAAACTACCTCAGTCAAATCCAACAATTTTGTAAAATAAGGTTCCAAATAAAATAATTAAACCATATGTTAGTCCCGAAATGACCTAGTTTGTGTCGAGTGGACATTAAACCCCTTCTCTCTCTCTCTCTCTCTCTCTCTCTCTCTCTACCAAGGTCACATGCCATTTGCGATACAGATGTATTTGAAATGGTTAAATTTGGTGCGAAACTTGTACCAATTTTTCCCACAGTCTGAATAAGTAACAAGCAGCCTGTGGTGCCTCTTTTTTATTATTAAAATACATCTTTAAAAAGACGATTAACGATGTTTAGACACACTGAACTATTCTTATCACGAATGTTTCGATGTCAGTATCTGTCGTATAACCAGAAACATTGAATATTATTGACATGAACTTACAGCCGGAATGTGAATTAAATATGGAAATATTTGAGAAGCGGCGACCTTTTTTTATATCTTTTAAAATGGACTAATACCCATAGAGCATGGGGATTAGACACCTTTATGAAATATGAACAATAAATAGTATGAACATTTATTTATAAATGTTAGCCGCAAAGTTGCCTGCATGCATGGGAATTTACAATATGGAGTGAAGATGATGTAAAAGTATATTATTATATTTACGAGTACCCGTGTAATCGGTAATATATTCATTAATTGTAAATAAAATTAAAATTTAGTAAACAGAAAACAAATTGTTTCTGAATTAATCTACTATGTCGTCACGATCGAAGAAATTCGTTTAAAATTTACGACGGTCCAGACAGTGGTCTTATCTACACCCAAATTCAACAAGTACAATCATTGTATCAGTCATATATAAAAACTGCAACTGTAGTGTTATTATTGTCTTTATACCAGACCATCTTGTGAACCTACCCATTGAAATCACCAGAAATGGACAAACTGGCTATAGGACAATCATGAAGTACCTGCAACTAAAATGACTAACCCCAACACAGATACATGCTGTATCTAGCAAGCTGCATCATACGCCCACATTTCTGCCTTGATTGAAATGGTACTTTTTAAAATAAAGAGAATGAAATATGGAATGGCTGCAATAACTGTAATATGACAAGAGACAAAAAAAGTGGGTATAACACCGCCCCAGCTAGGGGGTCGGGGCATGCACCAGAAAAAAATAGTTGCTGTCTTTACGGTATAAGGAATAGATATGTAAATATGCAAAGTTCAGTTCCAAGATGATCCATTCAGAATTGCAGCCTGTAGACGATAAATACGAAAACTGGCCGTGGCTCGGCCCCTCGGCGGGGGGGGGGGGGGATATAGAACAACATAAATAGGTATCACCCTGTTACTGAAATGACTGGTGATTTGAACCAAATCTGTTAATTATTGCAACCTGTAGAGTGTTTACAGACAAAAATTAACAAAAAAGGTGGGTGTGGTACATGCACCAAGATAAATAGTTGCTATCCTTTGAGTATAAGGAATAAATATGCCAAGTTCCAAGATGATCCATTCAAGATACCAGTCTGCAGACAAAAAGCACAAAAATTAGGCCTGGCTCTGCCCCCGGGGGATGGACATGGGCCAATATAAATAAGCTATGATGGATCATTCCGAATTAAATCCCAAATCTGTTAATAATTGCGACATGTATATCCTTTACAAATAAAATACTAAGAAAAGGCTATAAAGGAATGCATATGCCAAGTCCAAGGTGATCCATTAAGAATTGTGACCTGTAGGCAACACACAGACACACAAAGAAAAATTTGGGTGTTGCTCTGCCGCTGTGGGTCGGGCATTCACCAAAAAACAATAGGGATCATCCTTGGGGTATAAGAAATGGGTATGCAAAGTTTCAAAAGGATCTGTTAAGAATGGCGGCCTGTAGGCGAAACACAGACACACACAAAAATCGGACATGGCTCTGTTCCAGGGGGTCGGGTATGCACCAAAAATAAAAAAGGTCATCCTCAGGGTATAAGGAATAAGTATGAAAAGTTTTCCAGGCGAACGATTAAGAATTGTGGCCTGTAGGCGACACACAGACACACAAAAAGAAAATGGGCGTGGCTCTACCCCTGGGGGTTGGGCATGCGCCACAACGAATAGGGGTGTTGGTTAGGGTATAAGGAATAATTATGCAAAGTTTAAAGGCTCAATACCACTCTTGTAACTGAATAATATGTCCCAATCTTTATTCTGGTCTGTAGACGACAAACAAACAAATACAAGAAATGGGCATGGCTCTGCCCCTGGAGGTCGGGCATGCACCAAAAACAATAGGGATCATCTTTAGGGTACAGGGATTAAGCATGTAAAGTTTCAAGACGATCAGTTAAAAGTTGTCGCCTGTAGGCGACACACAGACACATACATGAACATGGGCGACGGCAATATACGTCCACATTAATGTGGACGTATAAAAATCAAATATATGTAATACTAAAACTAAGAATTTTAAAGTCGTATATGGGCCACCGTTATGTTGGGTTTGGTTTTCCCGGTGACGTAAATTTGAACTTTTATTTTCTTTTATTTCAGGATGGCGTTCTATTTGTGGAAAAGTTGGAGGCTCTTACCAGAATATTTAACGTTAATAATTGTTATATTATACTTACAAACATTGTACATATATTTATCAAATTTATCAAATATATTTATCAGAGTATGATTTCTTCTTTTTTTTCATTTGCAAAGTTCTGATTAACTAGCAACGTCACCTCTGTTCCACGTGTAGAAAGCATGGGTTGTGTGCGTAATGATTAATATCACCCTAGGTGGAAGTGGACGTAAAACTCTAGAAACGAACGAACGAACGAACGAACGTAATAATTGCTAAATCGCAAATGGGTAGAAACAATATCATTGTTTTCAATATATTTATTTATAAATTTATAGCCATTTTGAGACGATCGTTAGGTTGTTTATTGCCAGGAACGCAAGACACACATTTTCCACTAACTACCTTTAAAAGCATTTCTTTTAGATTCACATTTTCACATAGTTAGAAATATATACATCTATAGTTGACTATTATGTTGGGCAACATCGTTCATGTGTGGTGTCTCGATATTCTTGTTATGTAATAATAATAATTTTGTACATATTATATTATACTATTCAAAAAAAGTAGGGGATATTTGATTTTGGGGGCATAATACTAAAATATGCAAATGACTTCGAAAAAAGTCACTATAGAACCTAACAGAAGAAACATTTCCAGTTACATGTGACGCCCAAACGCACCAATAGCTACCGCGTGGAATGCAGGTGATGCTTGGGATCATCATGGGGGTCCAACCCAAGATTTGCACGACTCTGACTTTGAATGTTACAGTCATTGTGGCATTGAATTCCAGGGTGGAAACATCAGTTTAATTGTTTTAGTGACCAGAAAACAAATTTTGATATGCGTCGGCTTACCCAAAATGAAAGGTTACGTGCCCTTGGCATACTACAGATCGGCACAACACAGGCGGTTGTGGCGCGGACGATGAATGTTTCTCAGTCTGTCATAAGCAGGCTATGGTCCAGATACCGTGATACACAATCTGTACAGGACAGACCACGCTCAGGTCGACCAAGGGCGACAACTCAAGCCCAGGATCGATTTATCCGTACCTTGGCCTTGAGAAATCGTGTCATTACAGCAAATCAGATCAGCGCTCGTCTTCAAACAGACACTGGTGTGAGAGTGAGTGGCCAGACGATTCGGAATCGACTGCATAGGGGTCACCTTCGCGCCCGACGTCCTCGCGTGATCCCTTGTTTGAGAGATCATCACATTCAGGCAAGACGTCGTTGGTGTAGGGAGCGTCAACACTGGGATAATCGACGCTGGAGCAATGTGATGTTTTCAGATGAGTCAAGGTTCACTGTTGATTTTTTGGACAGACGTAGGAGGGTGTGGCGTCGTCGAAACGAGCGCTTCCAAGACGTTAACGTCATCAGACATGATCGATTTGGGGGTGGTTCTGTTATGGTGTGGGGAGGCATCACTTTTGCTGGAAGAACGGCTTTACATGTTGTTGCAGGGCGTGTTACAGGCCAGTACTACCGGGACAACATCTTGGCAGTCCATGTTGTGCCGTTCGCACGACGTCATGGCCGCCGTTTCATCTTCCAGGATGACAACGCAAGATGTCACAGGGCCAGGATCGTTACAGGTTACCTCCAACAACAGAACATCACCACATTACCTTGGCCAGCACTGAGTCCCGACCTCTCCCCCATCGAGCATGTCTGGGACATGCTTGGACAGAGGTTACGTCAACGTCAACAACGTCCTGCCAATGTCCAAGAACTTGCTGCTGCCTTGCAACAGGAATGGGACAATCTGGACCAAAATGACCTTAGACGTCTCATTAGGAGTATGCCACGTCGGATCAATGCTTGTTTGGCAAACAGAGGAGGATTTACCCGTTACTGACTTGGTTGTGATGCTGTGGTAACTTTGCTGTTTGACCCCGGGTATCATTTTACCCTTATAATGGTCAGTCTGTGCCTTACTTAGTCTAACGATCATTTGGAATAAATCGATGAATGTGAACTTCATTTCATTTTGTCATTTGTTTCTTCGTCAGTTTCATTAGGTGACTTTAATAACACTTAAAAATCAAATATCCCCTACTTTTTTTGAATAGTATAGTTTAATAATTTATTACATTAATAACAATACCTTTTATACGCCCATATCTATCTTTCCATGATTCTTCTAAACATTCTATAAATCAAATTGAATTTTTATACGCCCACATTTTCATATGGACATATATTGTCGTCGAACCTGTACGTCCAGGCGCCTGTCTGTCCGTCAACAATTTGTTTTTGGACACCACACAGTCACAATTTTTATCCGATTTTGACGAAACTTGAGATATAGGTTTATATCCATAAGATCTCTGTCCCTTTCGATATTGGCATGTATCGGACCGTAACGTCATGGATTATGGCCCCTGATTATTCGAAAAAATCATGTTTTTAGCTTGTGGACACTCTAGAGGTCACAATTTTTAATTGATTTTGATAAAACTTAAATGTATGTTTATTACCCAAAGATCTCGGCTCCTTTCGATATTCGCGCATATTGGACCGTAACTTCTTGCAATATGACCCCTGATTGTACGAAAAATCGCGCTTTTAGTTTCTGGACCCTCTACAGGATACATTTTATCACCGTTTTACCCTAATGAGTTCGAATTTCGTGAAAATTGGATTAAAACTGACGGACAAAATGGCCGCCCCTCGTACGCCAATCAGCAAATGTATGGTATATCAAGGTTGTGTACCCTCTAGAGTTCACAATTTTGATCCGATTTTGATTAAACTTTAAATTTATGTTTATATCACACAGATCTTGGTTCCAATTGATAATGGCACATATCCGAACGTAACTTCCTGGGTTATGGCCCCTGATTCTTCGAAAAATCGCATTTTTACTCGTGAACCCACTAGAAGTCACAATTTGTATTAAGTTTTACAAAACGTTTAAATATATAACCGTTATACATCAATGGATGTTGAGTTCGAAGGTCGTAAAAAATCTGACCCAAACTGCCAAACAAAATGGCCGCTCCTTGTACGCAAATAGTGTAAAAGTATGTAATACCAAGGTTGTGGACACCCTAGAAGTCACAATTTTTATCGGATTCTGATAAAACTTGAAATGTATGATTATAATCCA